AATCAGAATTTCATTCAATGATATGCTGTTTGTGTTTTGGATCCACAGAATCGATAAATCAAATCAACAGGAAATGAATAAATAATGATTTAGTGAAATATAATAAAAAATAAAAATCACTGTTTTTGAAAACTTGTACAACACGTCCGACTCTGGGCTGATGTCAACAAAAGAGGTTTTATGAGAAGTGATGAATAAATTATCGTTTTTATGTTATTAAAGACTTAAAACTTTTTTAAAAACACTTAAAAACTACAAACAAGTGTCAGTCACATAAATATTGTTTGGATTGACATATCATTAATATCCGTTTGGTGTTGAACTTAAAGGTCCCGAACAAAAGGATATCCAACTTTGTTTTTGATTACAGTACTTGCAATTCAAACATAAAACTTTATGTTTAGTAGCAGTACAGTATAAAATTAATCAGTAATTTATTGCTAAATATTTATTACTTAATATTTTAAATCCTAATTATGTTGAAACAACCTTTGACAAACTAAAATTACTTTTTACTTGTTTTATTGACTTTTAATAATTTGTAAGCAACACATGGACCGGTAGTAAATATTTGATTGCTAGATTTAAAAATCAACTTTGAGTTTCACGATCAAAAGTTAAAATAACTTTATCAAAATAAATATATATTTCTATATTTGCCACAAACTCTAAGGAAATATTTTTTAAAAATAAATTCAATCAATTGTATGCTTAAATTGTTGACAATAATAGCATTAAGTCTACAATTTGGCGCATTGAATGGTTATCAAATAAGTGAATCTTATACCAAATAACAATTTTATCACATAATAATGACTTTATTACGATAGTTAGATATCATTTGGGACTCGCAAATCTATTTCCAAACGATTTTGAATATTTGTTGTGAAATAAATAAAATCAATTTGAAAACTCCATTATCGGATAAATATTATAATATTGAAAAACATATGATATAAAGTGGTAAATGACTGGACTCTTACCCATCAATAGTCAAGTCGAGGAAAGACATGCTATCATTATAGAGATTAAACTTGCAATAGACTCCAAGTGCCAGATCTTTGGTCGTGACCACCATATCGTGGTGTTGGATAACAATATCATTAGTGAAATGTCCAGGACTTGACTGCTTGACATCGCATTCATCGTTATTGTATTTCATCTTGATATCAAACTCTAAACTATTTGTTATATCATTAACACATTTGTTTGGTTTGTTTTTGGCATAAATTTTTCCATTAAAGAGTCGACTTGTCCTCACTCTCGTCACCATTTCTCGGGAACGGCAGCTAATTGTCACTAAAGACATACAAAACTCCATTAATATATCGATACACTTATAACATAATTATATTCCCATTACTAGTAATGGAAAGTATTTCATAAAATTAATGAATACCATTATAACACATGAGTAGCTCATAAGTTGTGGTCCCAACCACTTTGATATATGGATTCTCGATGTGTGTCAACGAATTCTTGTCCAAATGACTTATACGACAGATATTGTCACTAAAATCAAATGAATGGCATCTGAATTGACTGTTAAGACACTTCTCTTTGCAATCTTTGATAGAATCGATTCCTTCAAACATTGAATCAACAGTTTTCAGGATTTTCCCGTTTATCGGAAGAAATTCACAGAACTTTTTTGGCTCTAAAAATCAATAAATATTTCAAATTATTTTTTTGCCAATTGCAAGCAACTTATGCAACAAAAATTCATCAAACCTTGGATACAGTTGTTTTCCATGTAACTCATCGTAGGGTTAGAGGGCCCGTAGTTTCTTATTTTTCCGTCATCGTTGATGTTGACGGTGTGTCTGTCCATATCGGATAGGGAGCACTCGTGGCCAATGGTGTCGAAGTTGACGGACCGGCACTCGAAGTCGCGTTCATTGAGACACAACTGCATGCACTCCAGTCTTGACATCACTTTTACACTCTTTTTGCCCATTCTTTTCAACTCAAACCCATTCACTCTCTCGAAAGCCCAGCCCTGAGTACAGGACTTGCTTTTGTCTGCAATCAAAGGATGCAATGATTATAATTACAGTTATGTTTGACACGAAACCATTGCATTCACTCCTTTTTCTCATCTTAGTTTACACACCATTTAAACTCATTATAAATAAATTATCACTAGTGTTGAGTTTTCTATATATTTAATAATGTATTATATAATTATTATGGCAATATTTAAGGAAGTTAGTAATTTTTCTAAATGATAATTCAAACTAACACTTAGACTTACTGTTATTATTGATTATTCAAATCTTTTCTTTGAATGCCTTGTCTTGTATACAATTCAATATATTTAAACCCCTAATTAATTAGCAATGATTGCATGCAATAGAGTTAAAGACTATGTAAATGAGTCCAATGTTTACCTTTTAAACAGATTTTTTGTGCATAAATAGTGAAAACTGGAAACTGAGACGAAATGAGGGCTTCCGGCCTTTCGTCGGCTGAAGAGCTCAACAAAACACATAATTTGTTTTCAAAGTTAATTGATTTGCATGTCTTGTCGGCCAGACATCTATCTAAACAGTCTGTCAAATGATATATTCCCGTTAACTTCACTACATTTT